GAAACGGGCTTACCAGCTGTGCGATATGGGGTTCAGTTGCAAATCGAAGGTGAGAGCCGTATGTATAGATCTGAATCCAATGTACGGTTATACTGAGGCCTTCCACTGCTCAGTACTGCCTCATCTGATTCAGATTCTGAAGGATCCCCATGAATTCAGCAACAAGTCATTGTAACTGTTTTTCGTTTATTCGCAGTTTTTAATTGTATGTTGCCTAAGTGCTGTAACCTCTGAAAAGTGGATACTTTCTGTTAACTACAGTAATAAATATATCTAATCTAAATGTAGATGTTCCGCGTCTATCTGGTGGTTATTTGACCAGTTGTGATGTATGCTGCCGCAGTAGTAGTATTATGAAGCAAACGACGCATTAGGTATGTGAGACAACGAGGATTGCTTAAGAATTTATCAGACAGCAATCATTGTGACGAAATGATGATACTGAAATCTGTAATTACAATTTTCTCTTACTAGCTAATTTACACGGTGTTGACGCACCGGCTTCTTACTTCTAGCGGCCTAGAGAACTATTTGGGCAGACCACGACTCCATAGTCTGTTGTCTCATGTAGTGCGTGAATTTTTATGTATAAATATGCCTACGTGTAGTGACAGCGGCAGGCGTCTGAGCGCGATTTTATTCGTCCCGATGCGGTTTGCATTCGTGCAAAGCAGGTGTTATAATACCATGTATCCATGGTCTGCGTAAGTGGTTTCCTAGGCCACTAGAAGGATGGAGGCGGTACTTCTACGCCGTATAAATCCGGTAGTAACAGAAAATGATTTTTTTACCAAAACTAGCAGTTTACTAGTCAACCCATAAAATCAGCGGTTATGTTTGTGTAGAAATCTATATTCTATAATCTTGGTAATAAAGCTTTTGTTGTACGGCACTAGTTGGATAGAAAGGAATGAAAATTTGTAGCCTTTGGAATATCGGGCTTCCTTCCTTCGGAATATGGGACCGTTTCTGACGCTTTTTTGATGAAATTAATGGTTGAACGTTTATATACATTTCTATGCCATCAGCGATAAGTGCCATATTTTAAAGACAGTATCGACTGCAACTGTGGAAAGCATAGTGCATAGTCTCCAGTGTCCTTCCGCACGGTAGTATCGTCCTGGGAAGGTAAAAGGCCAGTCACTCTAACCGGTGCTGAAACCAGCGACCTTTCTGTTTCTGACAGCAATCCTTGTTAAGAAAGATTGACAGCGGTGAAGCTGAATGGCAGAAAGTTGCTGTTAAAATCTGGCACTGAAACTCACTTGTGATCTCAAGGTCAGAAAACTTTGACAAACGGCGATAGTAACTCTGAGGAGTCATAATCTTTCCACCATCCATTGTTGGAGCTGAGTCATGATAGTTATTAGTCTTTTCGTAAGTCTATGCTTTTATAAATTGTTAATTGCTTTGAGTCAGAGCCATGTTAGACTTTTGGCGGCTTTGTTCAAGTAACTATGATAGAAACGTCCTTAAAAACGCTTGCTGGCATGCCATTTATACGCGTTCAGATATGTGCCTGGTTCATAAGCTGATCAGCTATTTTTGATAACTTCAAGCGTCAGCATCAGAAATTCGAGGTTATCAAAACATATAAAGACTGAACGAAACGTCAGCAAGAGACTTATCGATCTCACGAAGAAGATTTTATTTAACATCTAACATTTTGTTTGCATTACTGTATTAAAGTATAGCAACCATACTTGAAAAGGGTAGGGGGCAAAGTTAATCCTCGCTATCAATTTTTTGTCCATGCTTAGAAAGCATTAGAAAGTAGGCTTCATCACATTTAGGTATGCAACGGAAGTGGACGTGGACTTCGTTCGCAAGTCGGTTCGTGCCATCGGTCGATGCGCGATTAAGGTCGAGGCGTCAGCTGAGCGATGTGTCCAGACTCTGCTCGATCT